TTTAAGTTCAATAAATATGGATTTTATAAAAATCTAAATTAATTGATTTGGGATACGCCCAATTTGTTAAGTTTGATTTCATCTCATTCTAGAGGTCCATCTTTGCGCGACGTTTGCAAATAATGTGCATGCCAAGTCAAATGAGAAACCAATGGAATCATGACACGTGTCAAAAATGACAAGCTCACTTCATAAAGTCATATGTTATGTCATTTAAATCTGATTACCTAAAAGAAATTCTGTTCCAATCACAACTTTTTTATTTTATAACTATAAATAAGGTCTACATAATTCAGAAAGGAGACAGAAAATTCTAAACAAGAAGCTAGAGAAAATATGTGGTACAAACGTTATTTAATTCTCACGATCAAGATCAAGATCCCTTAAATTATAGGCAAATTCAGAGGGCGAATTTAAAGTAATCAGAGATTGTGACACTCACACTTAAAATAATAAAATAATCATTACTTAATTATTATTTTTCTTGACACGAATTTCATTATCTAAACATATATATATATATAGTAAGCCGTGAACGTCCCTAACATGAGCTTGTGCCTGCATGCCATCACTGCTGATCTTATTTAATTGTGGTTTGATGAAGACCAACGTTTAAAAACAAAACGTGGGCGGTTGGGGCCGGCCAATATTATAGCACATGATTTAGAAGATAGTCACTGAAATGGACAATTTTTCTACTTTCCACTTTTCTAGGTAGGTAGTTCTTAACTTGTTGTATGACGCATATATAGTGCGATTTATAATTTTTATGTGGGTTTTGAGTTATAGTAAATATTAGGGATAATGTTCAAGTACCCCCTCAATCTATGTCCGAAATGAGACACACTTATACCCCTTTTTCGACCTACGTGGCACTATCTTGTGGGCCCAAAGATGGTTGACTTTTTTTTCAAACTAGTGCCACGTAGGCTAAAAAAAGGTAGAAAATTACTTGTAAAATAAGTTCAGGGGTAATAGGACCTTAGTATAGTATAAGTGTGTCTGGAATTTCGGGCATAGGTTCAGGGTACTTGTGCATTATCCCTAAATATTATTATAAAGTGGTTATCTCGAAAATAGAGATAGTGATAAAGATTGGAAAAATTACTTCAATGAATATATTTTGATAAATAATTATTAATTTTAATGATATTTTTTTATTTATTATCATTTATAGCAACAAATAATAATACTAAGATAAATTTATAATCCGTACTAAAAGTGAATTATGTATGCAGTATATATGTATTAAACTTGTATTATATGTGTTTAATGAACTGTTTTGTTTAATATGAATTAAAGTTGCATTACATATGTATTAAAAGTGATTAAGTGAAAAAATTTTATTATTACTATAAAATGATAAATATTTTCTTAATATTGTATATTTATGTAAGTTTCCCGACAAAAATTGTGGGTTGCCATGGGCGTAAAAATAAATCTTTTCGATTCGTCTAAATAATTTTTTTTTGTTTGAAATGCTATTTAGAATAGGTTTTTCTTTTTTTAGTTTTTCTTTTCCTTTTTTTTTAAACGAGAAGGTGATTATAAGGTGAAAATTGAACCCTCATCGGCAAAGTATTTGAAAGTCAATTAAACTATTAAAATCTTATATTAGCTATTTTCAATTGTTGAAATTATCTGACTTTATATATAATATTTTTCTTTCATTTGTTAAATAAAATGAAAAATATATGTCAAGCAATCATGGGGCATGGACAAAAGGAGACGACCAAATTGTGGCCCTATGAATAACACTCAGAGAAAGTGAATGGCACTAGCTCTCATCTTTGACACCTATGCAAACACTAGACATTATTGGTACGGACTCAATATATGTTTACTAGTACGGATTCAATATATGTTCGTTATATGTTATTTTTTATTTTGAGAATTTAATCATATTGTAAAAGATATTTTAAATTTTCAATTATATATTTTTTATGTCATTTCAAATAATATATGTTACTCTCTCAATCTCACATTATATGAAACAATGAAATGCAGAGTCAAATGCTTTATGTGGTTTTTAAACTCAATCTATATGATACAATGAAATGCAGAGTCAATCAGATGCTTACGTGGTTTTTAAATATTTTATACTATCAATTATTGTGATTTATAGTATTTTACTCAAAAATTTTATTCAAATAATATTTGTCAAGAATATTTGAAAATTTATGACAAACACTAGCTAGATAAGGATATCTGGATATGTTATATTTATTTTTATTTATGTGATATAGATAAAATTTGGAGAGTCGAATAAACTTTTTGTTAGTGTTATTTAAAAAGATATTTAAGTTGTTAAGTTATCGTAATTTATAGTACTTTTTATGTCATTATCAAATAATGTATGATACGAAAAATGACTTGGATTGATATCTTTTCATAAATAATGTCGATCTTAGTGATATTTTTCAAGATGTACTAAAAGTGAATTATGTATGCAATATATGTATTATAATTATTTTTTAAAATATATTATGTTTGTTTAGTAAGAAATTAACATATTGTATTATAAATGTATTAAAAAAATGTTATAAATATATTATCCATTAATAAAAAAATTGTATTATATGTGAATAATTAATTATTTTTTATACTATGTATTAAAATTGTATTATAAAAATATATTTAAAATAATTAAGTAAAAAAAGTTATTATTATTGCTATAAATAAAATAATTTTTAATATGGTATATTGGTGTAAGTTTCCTATGCATAGCCCACATGTATAAAATGTTCACGCAAAAGAAGGTACAATTGAAAAAACAATCTAAGTACAATTCTTTTTCAAGCTTGAAAAATTAAAAATACTATAAATGCCCCTGACTGGAAGCAGTATATTATTAAGGTTACATATAATTAGTACTAAAATAATGTAAATTGACCTTATATTATATTGTATACAGTTATTAATTAAATATGCTATTAATAAATTGGTGGATTAATTGTTTTCTTCTTCTTTACTTTGGAAGAATAGATTGAAGTAATCTTAGTACTAAAATAATGTAAATTGGCCTTATATTATATTATATATACAATTATACAAGTTAAATATGCTATAAATAGATTGGTAGAGTAATTGTTTTTTAGGAAAAGGGTTTAATATGCACTCAATTTTGTCATTTAGAGCTGATATAGCCATTGTTATGAAAGTAATTCATATATACCCTTATGTATAAACTAATGGTTCAGATATATTCTTTTTCCTCTTGTGGAAATGAAAAAACAATAATTTTAATCTAACTTTTTATTATTCTTTTTAAAAAAAATATAATCCTATATGAGTAAATTTAATCCTCATCAAACATGTTTTCTTTGACTTTTTTTTTGTTTCAATGACTAAAATTAAAATTATTATTTTGAAAATCAAATTTATAATGTTTCACTAGTATTCTTGTAAATTGTAGATGACCAATTTTTTTCTTCGAATTCAAAAATCAAATTACAATATAGACAAAAATTAATAATTTAACTTTTTTTTTCTTTAAACTAAGAAATGAAAAAATAAAAATAAAATAAGAATAAGAAACTCAAATAATTATAATAAAAGAAGTCAAAAAATAATATATGTATGAAAAAAATAAAATATACCTTGAACTTTGATAGAAGAATCATATATACCCTTAAATATTTTTTTATAAAAATTAAATAAAAATAAATAGAAGTTTAAAACTTTTTTTTTTAACTTTCATTAAAATTTTATATATAAACCGCTTATATATGTAAACCATTTTATAATTGTAGGGATATATATAAACCGCTTATATAACAATAAAGACGTATATAAACCATTTTCACGAGAATATATCAGCAAATGATAAAGTTAGAGAAATATATCTGATCGTTTTTCCTAATTTTTTTCACCTTTACTTTGGAAGAATAGATTGAAGTAATGCGTACCACGTGGATAGGCCCCACATTGTAATATGGACAGATTAATATCCTCGTGGCTGTTTTGTCAAATTAAAAAATAGTACACATTTAGCATCACAAAATAATATGGTCACGAACAAGTTAATTGAAATACCAATATTACCCCTTGCCAAGCAGGCACGTTGACGGAGAGGAGTTTGCTTTGTGCAGACTCCTCTTCTTTTTTTTTATATATATATAATATATGATCACAATCTTAAATAATATACATTATTACTGATGTTGGACAACAACTTAATAATTTATATGTAACGTTGAAAAGTATACAAATATTATACTGTATGTGATATTATTAAAAGATAATTGCTAAAGGATATATATATATATATAAAAAAATAAAAAGAGAATAAATCAAAATGATCTCCTACAAAACTATTAAGGAAAAATTATGCAAAATGTCAACCTAAAAACTTTATTTATATTCCATGCGCATAAAATATTCATACGAAGAAAATAAGCTATGATGTTATAACAACTATGAATTATCGCGAGGTTTCAAAAAACTTATAGTTATCATTTTCTTAGCCTATTTTATATATAAAAAAATAACTTAAAATGACCATTTGTACGCTTATTCTTTCTTCTTTTTCTTCTTCCTCTTCGTCCTCCTCTTCATCTTCCATTTCCCTGTTTCTTCTTCAAATTCCAAGATACCGCAAACCTAAATTGTTTTGAACACAAAATAGTGAAAATATTGAGATTGTTTCATATATAAAATTCGAAACTATTTGAAGGAGATTTTGAGTTTATTATAATTGAATGATTAGTGTATATTTTATTTATACAAGTGTAAATTTCATGTATAATTAAATTATTTTTGATTTTTTAAGTGTATCATAATATATAATCAAGCTATAATTATGTATAAGCGAAGTAATTTGTATTTAGCATTTTAAATGTACCAGAATATATAGACAATATATATTTTCTTTCACTTTTGACTTTTTTTAAAAAATGTATAAATGAAAACATGACTATAGTCTATATTTATTGTAAACGTACTTTTATTATATATTTATTATGAAAGTTGAAACTATCCTTTCCTAAATTTAAATATAATTAAATTAAGATAGATTAGCAAGCCCACCTTTAGAGACAGGCTTGGAAATCAAACCTCCGGGTTCAACTAGATTCCTCTGGCACCGGTTTCGTTTTCCTTCTCTTCCGAATTCTGCTGTTGTTCTGATCGGAATCAGTGAACGCCATGGAATACGACTTCAGAAACCGAACAGGACCTCCTTACGATACACAATCGCCGATGTACGGCAGGCCAGCTACCGGAGCTCCACAGCCACATCCTATGTACGGACAAGCTCCCGGACTCTATCCTAGACCTGGTCAACACTCCGGCGGCCGGAACCCTCCTTTCCATCACACGCCTCCTCCGTCTTCAAACAGTATGTATTTTCCCCGTCTCTTATTTACGTAAGAGTTGTAGGTTATAAGTTCGGATCTCAAATTTTGAACTAGTGGAATTTTGATCTCTTACCTGTTGAATTTCACTTTTGCAGCTGGAATCGGCATCAGAGTTGCTATTAAACCCGAATATCGGATTACACCTCCGGTACGAAACCGATAACTCTGCTGATCAAATCAATTAGATTTAAATTAGGAGTTCTGTCTCCAATTCTATTTTTGATTTCATCGAATATTTCTTTTGTGTATTGATTTAGTATTGTATCAGTTGCATAGCTTAAATCTTTCGTGTGAACAATATGTTCTTTTTGGTTTATTGCAGCCTCAATTGTCAACACAAGTGGGAGAAATTCCCCGAAGCACATTCAACTTTGATTTTGACCTTGAGAAAAAGATTTTGGCTGAAGCAGAAAAGGAAAGCCAGAACTGGAGCAAGCTAGGGCTGGAAAATCTTCCACCTATAATGCCAGAACAACCTAGCATGGTACTTACATTTTTTATTTGTATCTTGTTAATTTCCCTACTAAAATCTACTTGCATGAGTTTCTCAAAGCGTAGCAAGTCCAGTATCTGAATAAATATGGAGGGTTAGTGTAGGTTGATTGACAGTGTAAAATAGAAATATCTAAATATAATGAATCTTCTGAATACTGAATTTGTTGAAATATACCCACCTAGGACCTCTCTTGTTTGACCCCTGAATAGAGTGAAATGGCTTAAGAAAGATTCATATTGGCCCCCACTCGCAATTTAGATTTGAGGTGTACTCGATTGTTAGCTAAAGTGCTCCCTCCATTTCAATTTATATGATGGTATTTGACTGAGCATGGCGTTTAAGATAATTCATTTTGACTTATGTATATAAATAGTGGTTGTGGAAGAAATAATGAGAAACAATAGGAAAAGTTCATTTGAGGGAGAAACATCACATCAAAGTTTAAAATCTGTATAGTTTAATGGATTTGCATTGTTGGAAGTTGGATAGACATGGAACGATAATCATTTTGGAGCTTGCAAAAATGAAAGTGAGTTGTGTAAAATTGAAAATCAGAGAGTGCTAGTTTGATTTCCACGCATGAACTTTCTTTTACCTGCTAAGATGGTGATTGGGTCATGAAAACTAAGATGTTAATTGGACGATCACTATGCTATGTATTTTCTTCAATTCAGTGAATCATGTAGATGTAGCTCATCAACAAGCGAAAGAAATAGACGAGCTGCAGAGTTGGGACTCCTGTATTCTGGCATATGGTAGGGGTGGTCAAATCTGTAAAATAGTTTGAGCATTGAGATGGAAATCACTTAATTTTGTGTAATGTGTAGGATATAACTTCCAATACTTGTCTTTAAAGATTCCTAGTATGCAGTCGAACCGAAGAATTTAGGGTTTCCTTATCAAAAAAATTAAGTGAAACTGAAGAATTTGAGATGCAGCTCACTGCCAGACAATTCAGTTCAATTACATTTTCTCTATAGTCAATAACAAATGTGGCGTGAGTTTAATATCTGTTCAGGCTCTTTCTCTGGATTGAACTTCTGGATATTTGAAGCGATATTAATAAGCAACCCTACCGGTAAAGGATCATTTCCTTAACATCATGTTCCTGTTTACCACAATTATGCTTGGGGATAATGTCAAAGAAGCTGCTAATATGATACATGTAGACAAAATTTCATCCTCACGTTGAATTTCTCCAACCAAATATGCCGTACCGGTGAGAGGTTTTAAAAACAATATTCCTTTTTGTGATAAGGTCAAGTTTTATCAATTAACACCAAGAATAGCAACAACATAGCCTATGAAATCCCACAGGTGGGGTTTGGGGAGGGTAGAAAAGTGTGCTAACCTTACCCCCGGCTGAAGTACAACAAATCCTAGTAAAAAAGAGAAGAAGAGAGCAGTAAGAGAACATTTGCTATTAATTAGGATGGTACCAATAAACTACTAAGATATTACAAAAAAATACAAAAACCAACCCCAAAAAGGTCAACGCATCAATTAATCTCTCAAGATATCCATATATCGGGGTTATCCTACATACTGCAATTACACCAAAAATATAAGTTATGCAGACAAGAAATCTTTATTCTAAAATATCTGTTCCTTTTTCCTTTAGAGCAAGCCTTATTTTTTCAAGCCATATAATCCAAAATACATAGGGAATGGTTCTTTAGATTTATTTTGGCTTTCATGCATTGTCTTTGCCAGCAATCCATCAAACTCTTAGGGATCGTTTGTTGTGATGTACAAGGTATTTTTGGGGGAAAAAAATTCCTTCTTTAGATTTTGAAAAACAATTTTTGCTACTCCCAAAAGCTTGACCAATCATTTATTAAAAATAACCTCTTTTAGCTTCCCAAAAGGTTGGTCAAACAGGCTATAAGTTATACGTGATTCAAATTACAACCAAACATCGGATTCAAATAATCATGTATATCATTTGTTATAAGTTAGTTTCACAAAAATATATAATTTGGCATAACTTTATCTGATGTTTGGTTGTATACATAACTTATAGCCTGTTTGACCAAGCTTTTGGGAGGTTACCCATGCTTATTTTTAAAAACCAAGGTGTTTCGTCAAGCTTGTGGGGTAACAAAACTTAATTTTCAAAAGCTATAGAAGTAATTTTTTTCCCAAAGGTACTTTTTAAATCTTTTTTTGACAAGTACTTTTGAGAAAATACACTTAGAAGAACTTAAAAAAGCTTGGCTAAACACTAGTTGCTGCTCAAAAGTGCTTTTTAAATTGATTAGCCAGACGCGAATTCACAAAATTATTCTTTGAAAATCACTTTTTAAAATAAGTTGATTTTAGAAGTTCGGCCACACAGTTTTCTAATTCTTGTATAACGTAAAACACCAATCTGGTTATTATTCATACCACCAGCAATATGGAATAACTAGTCCATGACATGGATAAAGTAGCAAAAGGACAAAACTACCTTTATCAACTCATTACTTTTTAATTTATAAGTAAGTATTTCAAGTGAGATCTTGTATATCCAATTTTAGTGCAATGAACCAAACACCCGACAAGAAATAATTTTGTATTGCTAATCCCCACATTATAATGGTATAACTCAAGAAACACCACTTACATTAAAAACAACTTCCATAATTCTCTAGAAACTCGGCAATACAAAAACCGATGTTATATATTTCTCTTTTTCACACATATAGCATCTACTACTTAAAGCAGAACTCCTCTATTGTAAATTATTACTATGAGCATAAGAGGCCTCCCAAGTGACAGTCCATCCAAAGGAGGCAGCTTTGACAGGAGCTTTAGACTTCCTCATGATCCTCCAGGCTAATTAGATGTGCTCTGACCATTTTGCTTTAATAACAGTTCGTAACAATTACTGTCAGAGAACATTTTATGCTTGCTGTTCATCCAAATCAGTCTATCCTCATTATTTTGATCAGTTAAAATAGAATCTAACTGTTGAGTCGGAGTAAGTTGATAAAAAAGCTTCTGATACCCAATCATTTAGGTTCCTTCTTCTAGATTCCAGCCGAAGATTGGATCAAAATCAGAATCATAGCCACCCTTGAGCACAAAACATCTGAATAAGTCTGCATGACTGCTTCTCAAATTTGTATTCCCAGTCCAAGTATCTTCCCAAAATTTAATACTGACTACATACCTCTAATTTAGTGTACAGTAAAAACTCATCCCTCATCCCAACAATGGCTTTCCATAAAAACCCTGATGTTCTCAATTGTGGATGATATTGTTTCCAACCATTCTTCCTTCCATGAATAACATTATTGAGTTTTTCGCGGATTTAATTGCCACCCCTATTTTTTATACATAGCCATTTCAATAATAAACTCTTGTAATGTAATTTCAGATTCTTCACTCCCAAACCTCTCTCTTTCTTTTCATTTCTAACCACTTTCCACTTTACTAAATGAAATCTTCCCTTATTAGCATTACCATCCCATAAGAACTAATTCCTAATGGAATCCATCTTCTTCTGTACTGCTGAAGGCATAGGAAACAGGAACTTTGTATAAGTTGGCTTCCATCCAGCACACTACTGACTAGGATAACTCCTCCCCCCCCAAAGGATAGATATCGGTTTTTTCATGGGGTCAACTTATTAATACATCTATCAGTTACTACTTGCCAAATATATGTATCTTTCCCTTTCACCCCTAGTGGTAATCTCAAATAGACTGTACGGAACTTGTCAACTTCACACTGTATATCAAGTCCATGGACAAAGGTAGTTAGCTTCCTTAAATGTTTGGTATATATAAATAATTAAGCATTGGACCCCAAGAGTGCATCATGTGCTTTTTTTAAAGAATCTTTTTCCCGGAAGTTTTGGAATGTGTATTACATTGAATGTTTTGCAGTTAAGGAACTCAACGTGATTCTGATCTGTGGTCTTTTGGTTGAAATTTGAATGAATTGTTTTCTTACTTGGATATATATTTCTTTCTTGAATATAGGGATACACTGGAGATCTTATGATGAACAAATACGCAACAGCTGGTTTCAATAGAGAGGCTGTGGCCATAGCAGTTGCAAATTATGGTGATAATCCGATCAAGGTATATATCTTTTTCATGCTTCTCTTACATTTCTGTTTGGATGTGGCACTATGAGAATTGTCAAATTAGTTATCTACCAGAATTACTTAAAATTAATTTTTATGAATATATTTCTCCACAAGAATTTCCATTTCTTATGATCCCCGTCCTTGGTTGAATTTTTCAATTTTTTTTCATTGAGGAGTCAATTTAACTAATTTTTGTAGTGAAATCGGCAAATGATTAGATTCTTTTTTGAAAATAAGGTTTACAAATTTCGAAAGTGCATGAAAGTACGACATGATGCAACAATCTGCAGTAATGTTTACAATTTTTGAATTTTAGTTACTGAAAAGCAAATCATGACATTCTAAATTGCCGCAGGGATAGCAGCATGGTCAAGTGGAGAAGTGTTATATAATAATTTGTTCAATAGCATTAAGGAGTACTTGTCTCTATAGTAAATGTAACCATTCATCATTTCTTCAACAAATTTCTTTCAGGTGAAGGAATTTGTGGAGGGATATACTCTCTTGAAAGAGATGGGATTCTCATCAAACAGTGTTGCAGATGCCTTACTGATGAATGACAACGATAAAGATAAGGCAGCAGCTCAATTGCTAGGCAATTCATCATAATAATTTTAATGAATATGTAACGTAATGAATGTGTCACTACATTATAATTCAAACCTTATACTTCCATTGTAAATGTATGTTTTACCCATTTACGTGTGTGCTGATGAGATATTTTCTGGTGACTCCTATTATTAGCTTTTATATAACTGATGTCTGGCTGGTAGCGATTATTATTCATCCATGTCAATTTTGTGGCCCGGGTGTCGGGTTCTATTTCATTGTCATTGCTGGGCATTGCCCAACACGATACGAGCCACTGCACCACCCGTGTAAATGCAATGGAATGTTGGATTGCTGATTAAGTTCGGTAAGAACATCAAACTAGGTATTTACATGAAGAAGAAGAAGAAAAACACACTACTTGAAAGAAGAACACTATTATGTTGACTAAATGTGTATGTGCACTTAAGGGGTGAGCAGTCAACGTGATCACAAACCAAATATGTTGTCACCAGGACCAAATATTGCAGCAGTAAATTGTCGTGTGTTCAAGTCATTACCATCCAGACCTGAACCAAATCTATCAAGCCACTGAGTTGGACTAGGATTTTCTGCCTCTTCCACCCACTCAGATGTCATATCTATGTCATCAAGTTGGAGAGGATCTTCCTCAGGAGGTTTAGAAACCAAATACCGTGCTAGCTTCAGATTATAATTTATGTAAACAAGGTCTAAAAGTGTTTCCTTATCAATCTTGTTGCGCTTCTCAGAATGGATTTGCTGAAATGTGCTCCAATGTCGCTCACAAGTGAACGTACTGCACACCTGGCTAAGTATTTTAATAGCGACTCTTTGCAATGTAGGAGCAGCATCACCATACTGTTCCCACCAGATACCTACAGTGCATTTCTGTTGCGTTAGTCCATTGAAAATTAGTTATGCTATGAATAAAACTGTGTGAAAAGCATGACGTGTACTCAGCAGTCATTTTTCTTTAATCTATCAGAAAGCAAACGAGAGGATAGAAAACTATAACAGAACAATTCAAAGTTATTTATGACATGCTGGAGAATGTCCATGCAATTGATGCAGTTCACAGGGGACCCATAGTTACAGATCAACTTGATCTATGTTTTAAGCCAGAACCAAAGTCTTACTACAAGTTAATGCATACCAATCATTAGTGTTGTCTTCCAACTTTCAGGGGCAATACGTTTTTCATATATTTGAGAAGTTCTACCAACTTGAATGCTTCCCCGAATATTCAATCTTTCAGGAAGTGATATGTATGTATTCCGAGGCAGAATTGCCATGCAAGTACAAACTGCTTTTATCAACTTATGGTTTTACTTAACTTAAGGGGTAGCAACCACAACAAAAACTGGTAGCAATCCTTGAGGACCAAGGTTTGAAATTCGGCAGATAATGGGCCCACTCATCAACCTTTTTCAACTTAAATACCAGGCTTTCGTCTGTAGCAAGGTTTGAATACTCAATTCCTATAGTACTCTAAAGCCTAGAACCGTCAGCCAATGTTGAGAAAACTGAGAGCAGAACATTTTCCCAAGATTTCAAGGATTCCAGAGCTCCTAAGAGGGATGTTGGGGCAGAAATCATAGATATATACCGGCATGCTCAACTGAGGACATAGGCTAACTTCAACCGAGTTTTCTCATAACTCTGAGAGGCACATAAGGCTGGACAACTCGAAGCCCCATTAAGATGATAAATAGACAGAAAGAAGACATGTATATCATTGGTCCCCACTCCCCTCAAAAGAGGTGATATACATTTCTCTTCGTCTATTTCTAATCTTATGGGGTTTCAACGTGTCCAGCCTTATGTGCCTCTCAGGATTGTGAGATAACTCGGTCAACGCCAGTCTGTACCCCCAGACGAGGAGATGCGGGTATTTATGTAAGAGTTTTTCGCTGACATACCTCTTAGGAGCTCCGAAAACCCTTAAAAGTTTGGGCCAAATGTTTGCTTTCAGGTTTTCACAATATGGTGGCCTGCCGTGACTGAGGTGAAGGTGGACCGCTGGTACTTAACATGATTTCATAATCAAGCTCCCCTAGAATCAACGCCTGAAGGATTCGTGAAGGGGGGGCATAGACCAGAAAGCCGGGTGGAGATGACAAATAAGCAAGCATGGCTAAATGTGGAGAGAGACACCATTCAGACCCTGAGATAGACCTGGAGCATGCTAGGGCACCAATAGAAGAACAACAAGCAGAATTTGCAGAGGAAAGAACTCATATAGAAGCTACGATCCAAGGACAACTTAACTCGTCAACAGTTCAGGTCTCGCCTCATCTCGTCAGCAAAAACTGCGATAAAATGACCTTACTTTCAGGCAGGTCTTGACAAGGAGACGAACCAATGGATGTGTAAGAGGGGTGTGACACCAGGAACATAAACATGACCTATGATATCTTTAATGTAGAAGATGCTGGTCAGCCTTCCTACTATCTCAAGGAGAAGAAAGAAGAATAAACCGATTGCTTTAAGTTTGTAGAATTATGTGAATGGAATGCAAAAATGTAAAGCTTCAAGTATACCTGGAGGAACAGTATCAATTGCTTCCTTCGCCAGATTACAACCAAACATCCCAGATGCCCGTGTATATAAAAGGATTTGAGTAGTGATATCTCGCCTCAGTTCGGGAGTTGGTAGCAGCTTCTCCAGCACTCTGAAAAAATCTTCTTTTATTGACCCAAGAAACTTGACTTCTGGGTTATATTGGATGCCAGGATTCAAAAAGGCAGCTGCCGAATGAAGAGGAGAGTGGAGGTTGTTCTTCCAGTTCTTATCCACTATATCTAAAAATGTCTTGCACTTTATTTCATCCATAATATAGTATGTCCTTATAGATTCCTTTGCTCTGGTCAGTAGTTCATATATAGTGCCCACAGCTGGCTTTCCTCCAGAAACTTCTCTCATAACTTTGAGAAAGGGTTCAGAAACAGCAACACACTCTTCAGCTGTCCTCCAAAAGTCATTGTCATCCAGAATTGTGATACAATTAACACTTTGCGATTTGTTTGTATAAGCAGAATTGGCAGCAAGCTCTGGACTGTTAAAAATAACTTTCAATCTTGACCTATGCTTCAATAGACATTGCAAGGAGAGAAAGTTTGATACAGACTTTGTGATACCAGTCTTAATGATCTCTTGTCCTCCAGTGAACTTTTTCATGAGATCAAGCAATGGGGAATTGTTGTATATAAATTTTGAGAGTGATTGTGCCTGTAAAATGCATCTATTTACCCAATCTAATTTTGAAAACTCGTCTAAGATTGCATTTATACACTGTGAAGCACAAGGGGACACAAAAACATTCCCATAGTTCTGCAAAATATGGTTCACTATACCAGTGCAGTGAAGTGTATTATCCACAATTACCTGTACAACATTCTCTGGTCCAAAATCTTGTATGATTGAATCAAACAATTCGGAGAGGCATTTCAGATTCTTAAAATATGAAGATGCGTCTACTGATTTGTAGAAAAAAGTCCTGGAGGGCGATGAAACCAAGAAGTTGATCAACGCTTTCATTTTGTTGTCCGTCCATGTTTCTGCAATCAAAGTGCAACCTGTCATAGCCCACTCTTTCTCAACATCTTTTGACTGTAAACTTACTTCAGACTTGATCCTCTCCAACCATGTCGCTTTCAGGGTTTCAGGAGAAGGACCTATAAACCCACTGCCACACTTCCCTACTGCCTCAATCATTTGATGGTAAGAGGAAGATCTTGCTACACCAAAGTCAATTTTGTTCTCAAAAAAGAACAATGCAATACTCCTCTCAGCATTTTCTTGGTTATTTCCAGATGAAGAAATAGCCTGCCCAATTGGTGGAAAAATTCTTGCAATTGGAGTTATTGGCTCCACCGATAAAAGCGGTTTTTCCGGAGAGATATTTGCAAGAGCTTTTGTCTCAATGAGCTTATGTTTTTTAGTACTAGGAGGTTCCTTTGATCCTATTATATCCCTTACCCTGTCAGTAACATCATCCCTGACCTTAGTACATGGATTCACACCTTTACTGGGAAGTCTGGATAAGTGGTGTTTTAACCTACTAATGCCACCATTAAGAATTCTAAGACAGAATTTACACCTCACTTTATTCCCTTCTAACTTCTCAGCATATTCCCAACAGACATCTTTTTCTCGAACCACTGTCGGTAAAAAATCTGTTAGAAAATTGTCTGACTATCTGCTCAAAAAATAAATTTCTGAATCAGCCAAGATGGGCTTTTCTTTATTCTTTTTGTTTTCTTTCCCCTCTTAGGATAAAGAAGATTCTATATCACAGTGCACAATAATGAAACATAACAGTCATTCAGGAAATCTCTTTAATGATTTAAAATTAATACAATGATATGATCAAGTGTCAATATGCGACTAAGGTAGGTATATATTATCTTAGGTTTCAATGATAAGCCCCAAACAAATGCTACCTAATATGCCGATCATCTTCAACTCATGCAACAATAGTGTATCTCGATTAACTAGCAAAGCTAAAAGTGATGTGTACGGATAGGCTTCTTCAATCATATACCAAGATACTTTTGAAAACCTCAACTATAAATGATCGTCATTGTATCAAAACTGCCAGCATTTAAATTGGAAAAACAGCACGAGCAAATTAAAACTCCATAAATCAATTTGAATCCTTGTAAAAAGAAAGAAGGAAGCTAAAGTGTTGTCCATTCAAAATACTAAAATTAAAACCAGGTTCTATTTAGACTTAACTACCATTAGAAGATCAATGAATAGAGCTAAAAACTTGATGCAAGCAACATATTTATCCAAACAGCAATCTAGAGTTAATGATTATGCTTTTTGCAGATTTCATCATACTAATCAATTTTATTACTGAGCTTATCTGAAGTTTGTAATCATGCTTCATTCCCTTCCCAAGTCGGGACAAACAAAAGAGAATACAGACCTATAAAATAAGTCAGGTACAACATTGTAACAAAAAGAATAATCAGGAACCGTGAAAGCCATAAAATAAGTCCCAAATGAACTGGAGTAATAACTCACGAAGCTCACTCCAAATTAACTAAAGAGTTTTTTTCAAATCGAAATAACAAAAGGAAGTTCAGTGACTTACTAGTTATGTTATGGAGGGATTCTCTTCGCAGTGGACTGATACTACACAAACCTAAGCAATAACAGCTTTTCGGTTAAAAATTACAGCATAAATTAGTAAACTGAATCAATTTTAATTTCTGAACAATCACCATTAAAACTTCATCCGGTAGTAGTTCAATTTCCAGGTAAAAGATGAAACAATAATTTGTAGTCACCATTGATGATGAACTCGCAAGCTGAAATGTGGAAGTGCTATAGTGTACAGTGTCGATTTCTACCATTTTTTGAACAGCGAAACAGAAATCTAAAGAGAGGGAAAACAGAAATAGAGAGAGAGAAATAAGAGGGAAAACTTACATGGAGAAACGAATTATCAACGGTAAGACGGAAGTTGCAGAAAGAGAGAGAGAGAGATCTGTTTGATTTATCGCGAGATTTTGTGGAATTTTGAAGTTTCTGAGGCTAGGGTTTAGTTTCCATCTTCTCGTTATAGTAATATCTCATCTGTTTTTTTTCGGCAACTACTAAACGACATCGTAAAAGGATACGAATTTGGATCCAAAAAAAATTGCAACGCCGGAAGCCTTCTCATTTATCAGAGCCAGGTTTAGATCCTGGGACCTGTGGGTTATGGGCCCACCACGCTTCCGCTGCGCCACTCTGATTCGTTGGTAGAAAAATCAAATATAATTAAGTGGTACTGAAAAAAGTATTAGTCACGCATCTAGGTGAATTTTTTTTTTTTTGAAAAAATTACTCAAATATACGTCTTATATTTCTTTTATTTTCAATATTTCTTATATTTCTAAATCTCTTATTTCTCTCATAATGTATGTAATGTATCCGAGCTACATATATATTAATGTATCCAAACTATTATTTAATGTATCGAGCTACATTTTATGTATACGATTTATTTTATAATGTATCCGAATTATATATTATATTTCTGATTTATGTTATAATATATTTGAGATACTTTCTAATGCACCCAAATTGTACATATTTTAAGAAAAACTATTATTTTGAACTTTCTGAAAATTAAATTACTTTGGCTACTATTGAAAAATATTTATTCTCGCCTCATTAACCTAATTAAAAATCTCAACTCTCTAAGATAAACACACATAATTAACTTTCTAAAAATTTAATCATACACGCAGAAGATAAAAATAATTGCATGTAGGTGGGCGCTATGAGCATAAAGCATCATTTTATAATCATATCAATGCAAATTCAATTTGAATTTTGCTCGATTCTACAAAAGTTAAGTACGTTATAATTTATTATTACGTCTCTGTATATCTAAGCTGATCATAACATATATATATAAACACATTAGATATAAAAGTTTGTGTTCATTCGAATTCAATATATGTTATTTTTTATATTTCAGTTTATGTGATACAAATAAAATTTGAGAAGTTAGACAAATTTTTAGAATAGATTGCATATTATGCATATTGATTATTTGAAATCACCAGTAGTTTTCTCAAAGATTCGAGAAGCTATATTGTTGGTTTTGTGTACTGAAAAATTAAGAAGGAATCGAGGTGAACTTACAAAAAAATTAAGGTTGCACAAGATGTTAATCAGCACATTCTTCTTAATTTGGAGGGGATATACTGAAATTTTTCAATTTTTTTTTATCTATAACGCATTGAATTAGTATGCTAAATAATTTTTATGATCGAACCACACCTTAATTGATTGATGAAATCACAGAACACACTAATTTAGTGTGCTATAAAAATCCTTAAAATCACTTAGATACTTGGTGTTCATTAATAAATGATAATTGTTTGTTATTAGTTTATTATTTATCTAATTATGAAATTGTTGTTTAGCTAATTTCATAATGTTAATGTGTTAAAATAGTTTTTTTCGTAATGTTAACTTAGTTTAAAAAATTAAGTAGCTAAAAAGATTGTTATAATAGGTTTTAGGATGAAAAATTAATTGTTAGTAGTATTAGTTAAGGGTTGTTAATCATTAACTAACAATAAATTTCAAACTTAACAAACTGTGCCTAAAGCATAACCATAAACTTTAAACCAATACCATATTAACAGAATTGGCTTGAAATGCCCTTTTAAAAAGATTAGGTAATTTTATGTCTTGTAATTTTAAGATCTACTTATATATAATAACTAATAAAATAGATTTGGAAAGTCCCTTCTAAAATAGTAAAATTTAAATTTTGTAATTTCAAGATCTAAACTACTAAATACTAATAGAAAAGACTTGGAATATATAATAAATTATGTTCAAGACCTAAACTACAAACAAACCTATAATACTATAAAAAATATAGATTTGAAACATGTACCTTCTAATAAATTAGGCTCAAGACCTAAACTACTAACAAAATAGATTTAATAGATTTAAAAAATGTACCTTCTAATAAATTATGTTCAAGACCTAAACTACAAACAAAATAGATTTGAAAAATATACCTTCTAAAAAATTAAGATTTAAGTTCTCTAATTTCAAGACTTATCACGCTAACAAATTGGACATGAAAAAAGGCAACTTCTAAAAAATAGGATCAATATTTAAATAAATATTTATTAAAGATAAATATAATTCCTTTTTCATTTTTATACAAATTGCAGATATCCTAGATATTAAAAGTAAATATCTTTACATATTCAAAATAAAATTACATATATTAACTTGAGATGTTTGACAATTTCATGGTTATATTGTTTAAAACAAATAAAAAATATTTATTTTTGTTAAATAATCAATATAAAATAGATTGGACGAATAAACTATCGAGTAACTAAACTTTAACTCTATAAAATAACACATTTAGAAATTAGATCTTATCCCTAGAAAAAAAAAAAGAATCGAGCCTAACATTTTGTTAGTTATATATATTTATAAAAAGTCTTCAAGTATTGAAGCGATATTTAAGGACTTATATAACACACTTAATTAATGCATTATGTGACTTTATTGATTATTATAGTATTTCTGAAAAGAAAACTCGAGTAAATATTATACCTAGAAAAGCCTTAAGTGAACTTTCACCTACAATTTAAAATATACCTAATTTTATCTCAAGTCTCATTGATGTCTGAATCTTAACTACTACTAATTACATCTTTCTTTTAATGAATTCGTGTTTTAGATGATTAAACTATGTAAGATGGCTATTGAAAAACATTATCTTTATAAAAAAGGAAATTTATCTAATCACAACTATCTTTATTGTTCACCGATAGCAAGTACCATTATTGTGGTTCATTGTTATCAACTATGTACTATTACCCATCATCACTAACTATAATATAATCATCATTATCATTAATTTATTATTATTATCACTAACCACCAATTTATTTGATTTACAATTATTATCACCCATTATAAACCCTCACTATCAATTACCGCATTATATATCATCCACATTATTCATCGTTATTATAAATAATCACCAATCGCCATTACTATTAACTACTATCTACACCACAATATCATCCTTAAACAATATTCACAACCACCATCATCACAACTAGTCTATATATAAACATCCCCTAAATAACTCTCTAATTTTTTTTTGTTGATATAAATACGACATATCAATTGTAATTTCATCAGAGAAATTGATATATAATACATTATAGTATCTTAACATTTTATTAAAATTTATTATTTTTAAATAAAAACAATTTTTATATATTTAAATGCCCAAAAGATAAATAATTTTAATTAATTAATTATTAAATGTTATCATGATATCTGAATTCATACTTATACATCTGATCCTAACATAGTATCGTATTCAAATTTGCACGTCTTGGATCGAATTGTAAATGTATTTTCTTAATTATAAGTAACATATTTAAATAGACCCGTCTTAAAATGTGACGTAAATAAAAAAAAATTTAAAATTAAACTGTTCCTTGTGGGGACCACCACCCAGAACTGTACAGAAATAATGATGATGAAAATACACCTGACTAGTGAGCCTCACGTTTCCACGCTGTAAAATATGCGTTGGTAGTAGTGCGAAAGAAGCGCTAAATAAATCCAAATAAAGAAGAAGAGGGAAAATATATATACACAAATGTAGAAACCCTAGCTAGAATACTCTCTTTCTCTCTCTTTCAATATACTTTTCCCTCCAGACTGTGGTTTCCTCCATGAAATGGGAAATGGAGGTGTATGAAATCGAAGCTGTTCTCGAGAAAATATGGGATTTACATGATAAACTTAGCGATGCTATTCACTCTGTTTCTCGAGCTCAATTCCTCAATTCCGTCAAATCTCGCTCTAAGTCCGATGACTTTTACGGTCACCGTTCTAACAAGAGAAATGATAACAATGGAAATCAGGTAAAGCATGGTTACGTTTTCGTTAAGGAGTTTCCTGTTGATGAGGATGAATCCGCTGTTCATGAGGCTAAGAGTCTCAATGCTATCCGGACCGCACTTGAACACCTTGAGGACCAGCTCGAGTTCTTCCATGTAACTTCTCATTTCTATCCTTTTTTGTTTGTTTGTTTTATTCGTCTATCCATATTATCTATTCGTTTTCATTTTCTGACTGAATGAATTTAGCTGGCGATGTTTGAAATTGTCTATTGCTGTGTCACGTGTTAGATTTGATGTTTTGTGATGCTATGCTGCAATTAATCTGGCTTGTGAAGTTCGATCAAAATGAAACGTAATCATATAATCTGAGTAGCTGCTTAGCTGCTTAGCATTTTTATTGCTTACATGTTAGTACATCTTATATAGGATCCTCAAGCAAAACCAACTAATTGCAAGAGGAAAAGGAGGAATTGATTTGAAAAGAAAGAGAACACTAAACCTGTGTATTTGTTTTGTTTTCATGCTTCGAATTTTAAGCAATGTATTTTATTTTATTTTTGAAATAGGTAACTCTAGTTTTAAGCAACATATTTTGCTCGTGCTAATATTGGTGTTATTAAATTAGTGCTGAAATTCCATCTTGTCCACGTCCAATGTAGAGCAATTACTGCAAAAACCTTGTGGTTATTTGATACTGTAACATGCAATTTTAGCATGGGTATGATTGTATACTACACTATCCCTTGCCAAAATTTTCATAGAAACAGGACTTGACAGCTTATTTTATTTGGTGTTCATAGAGAAAAGTTTGATACAAGTTGCGGTGGAGACTAGGTAGTATTTTTGTTGAGAAAATGGTAAAAGGCCCTCCCATAATTTGTCGTTTTACTAAACTATACACTTGTTGTATATCGGGTTCTATTACCCCCTTGAACCTTTTATTTTTGGAATTTTGTAACCCTTAAATGCAGACCAATCCAAGAAGTTGAATAAACCTCTTGTAAGCGTGTAAGGATTGAATGAATGAAGCTATGATTGCTAAAATTGAATTAAATAGTTCATCTGTCAGTTTCCAATTGGAGATTATATATTTAATTCAACTTAACCTTTAAGATATTTTTTTTAAGGTTTGTTTTCTTTCTCTTCGTTCCTTCTTATCACAGTAATCACACCAAGACCACAACTACTGCTATATCATTTCTGTTTACTATCAGAACCCCAAATTTCAAAGAGTAGGCAGCTGTAATATCAGAATTTGAACTCATTAACTCATCCACATACCACTGCCCTGTTTTCCATCTTCCTCAAATTTGATAGACTCACCATTATCAAAGTTCAAGCATTGGAAACAGTAACCTATAAACACACAATTTACTCTTATCTTCAGATTCCTGACTACCCAACAGTCCAACTAATGTTGGAACTTTTATCTAATTAGGAAGGTAATATGAGATAAGTTGTTAAGTTACCGAGGAATTAAAAACACAGCGGTTCTCGTGTCGAAATCCAATTGATCTACGTGTTGTTAAGGTAGGATGAGATCTGTTTTAATGACAATCTGATTTTGACATTAAATTTTATTTCACCTCTTTTCATTACTTAATTACGAATCACTCTTGTTCCTTTTCCTCTGCGCAAGCTTGTATCTTCATGGCTTTTAACTGAAAAGTGTAATGACAAGAACAATGTCGTTCGATTCAAATGAACTATGATGTGCATGACTTTTCTAGATTCACTGTATGCATCTCTGATGGCGTACGTTCATTGAGGTTGGTGTCATTTGTGTTCTTTGAGGTCGGTATCAATTATTCTTTTGATGTCCAGTGAAAAAAATATTAAGGCGTACATGTGCATTAAAAAGTTATACCCAACATTAATGGCTGTGTGAACTGCTTATAAAGATAGTATAGTTAGCTATAAAATAGAAGAACAACTAGGAGTGGAAAGGATGGACCGATGGACAATGATTTGGTAACTGGCTGGGACTGATCTCGTTTAGTTTACCGAGTAGACAAGCTTAGTTCTTTGTTCAACATGAAGCATTCTGTCTGCAACTATGTCCACAGGAATAGATCAGTAGATGCTAAAGTAAATTTTAACACTAGTAGACAGCTTGAAACAAAGCAGGTTCTAGAGATGCAGCAATAAGGAAAAACCACCACCAAAGGCTGCAACACTTCTAACTTTGGCCTCTGCAAGTTTATGGACACCCAACATGAGACGGCGAGTGACCTTTGGAGTCGTAATCTTCCATGGACCAAGAGGTGAAGCTAAGAATATTTGATAGAACTAAGAAAGAGAGTTGGTCTTTGACATCAAAAAAGAAGGTTGGAATGACGAATGGGACATGTGAGAGCTCTAGTGTCTTAGCTTCCACAACTTGCATGAAGTAATTTTAGGATATGTTTTGCATATATTTCTGTAGTATAACTTTTTGGTACTAAGATTTATTGGTTCTTTTTTGGGATGAAGATTGTCCGAGCGAGCTTGTACACACCTCAACTATTCCACCGGATACCTGCAGACTCCTATCAATATTGGATAAATTTTCTTGCCAAAGATTAGGCAGAAATCATCTGGTGATGCTTTTGTCTCTGATTTGAACCTCCTCATGGTTTTCTTCCCACTTCATTTGACTGCTAGGTCACACCCTTGCACTACTGAGACCTCAACAAAAGGTTGAAGCAATTGACGTGCCAAGCCAAGTTTTGCCCCAAAGTATCCAAATGAAAAGTACTAGGAAAAATTGGATTTATTGATATTTCGGTTGGCGGTTGGCTGTAATTACATACATATGCCGAACAGCCGAAGTGTTAGAAGTTTATTCATTAGTCAAGCATGATCCAAACATGATTAACGACCCAAGTAAGGGAAAAACACACACAAAAACAATTGAGGAGGCTTCGAGGAAACAAAATATAGCATACTGCAACACCTAAGAATGTGGCCAACGTCAAATGAAGTGGGTGCAAACCTTTGAAAGAAGGGTTCAAATTCCAGCACAGTTACTTGGTACCTGTGCTGGTGGGCACCTGTAGAATAGTTGAGATGTGCTTAAGCTGGTTCGGACATCATCATTATCCACAAAAAAGACTGAAAAAGATCAAAGTATAATAATGGACACCACAGTCATAAAAAAAAAGGATAATGGTTATACCTTTTTTTTAAGGTTAAAAAAAAGGTATAATGGTTATACCTTTTTTTTTAGGTTAAAAAAAAAGGTATAATGGTATCCTTCGGGGTGGCTCAGTAGTTTATGTTGGAGGTCTCAAGTTCGAAACCCCTTGCCAGCGAAAGCAAGGGGCACAAGGCTTGCCTAGTGCGGTTACCTCTCCTATGTGATTTGCGAGCTATTGCATTGGAGCAGGGGTTTTACCTTGTGCGCACCCAAAAGGTAGCGATTGCGGGTTTCCCTTGTCATTAAAAAGAAAAAAAAAGGTATAATGTTAAAAAGAGCCAACCAATTCTAATACTGAATCTGTAATCAACTTATCAAACAAAACATTAAATCAAGAATAGTACCCTTGTATTAGTTGTCACTTAAGAAACATGTTCACTTCCAGTGGAAGTTTTTTGCTGTCTCAAATTTTTCTGGTATGGAATAATGATTCATGACAACTCTACCATTTATACACTCATAGATTTATTTAACTGGCTGCTGCAAAATGTTCATAAATATCACCATCTATCGGTTTCCTATTGGAGATTATATATTTAATTCAACTTAACATTTAAGATTTCCTTTTTCAGGTTTGTTTTCTTTCTCTTTGTTCCTTATCACAGTAGTCACAGCAAGACTACAACTACTGCTATATCATTTCTGTTTACTATCAGCCAACAGTCCAACTAATTTTTGAACTTTTTATCTAATTAGGAAGGTAATATGAGATAAGTTGTTAGGTTACCGAGGAATTAAAAACATAATGTCTCTCGTGTTTGAAACCCAATTGATCTGTGTGTTGTTAAGGTAGGAAGAGATCTCTGTTTTAATGACAATCTGAGTTTGACATTAAATTTTGTTTCGCCTCTTTTTATTACTTAATTACGAATTACTCTTGTTCCTTTCCCTCTGCGCAAGCTTGTATCTTCATGGCTTTTAACTGAAAAGTGTAATGACAAGAACAATGTCGTTCGATTCAAATGAACTATGATGTGCATGACTTTTCTAGATTTACTGTATGCATCTCTGATGGCGTACGTTCATTGAGGTTGGTATCAATTGTGTTCTTTGAGGTCGGTATCAATTATTCTTTTGATGTCCACTGAAAAAAATATTAAGGCGTACATGTGCATTAAAAAGTTGTATCCAACATTAATGGCTGTGTGAACTGCTTATAAATTTTTATATAAAGATAGTATAGTTAGCAATAAAATGGAAGAACAACTAGGAGTGGAAAGGATGTACAATCATTTGGTAACTGGCTTGGACTGATCTTGTTTGGTTTACTGAATAGACAAACCTAGTTCTTTGTTCAGCTAGAAGCATTCTGTCTGCAACTGTGTCCACAGGAATAGATCAGTAGATGCTAAAGTAAATTTTAACACTAGTAGACAGCTTGAAACAAAGCAGGTTCTAGAGATGCAGCAATAGGGAAAAACCACCACCAAAGGCTGCAATACTTCTAGCTGTGGCCTCTGCAAGTTTATGGAAACCAATATGAGAGGGCGAGTGACCTTTGGAGTCGCAATCTTCCATGGACCAAGAGGTGAAGCTAGCATTTCATAGAATTAAGAAAGAGAGTGTGAGAGCTCTAGTTTCTTATCCTCCACAACTTGCAAGAAGTACCCTTTTTAGGATATGTTTTGCATATATTTCTGTAGTTTAACTTTTTGATACTTAGAGTTATTGGTTCTTTTTTTGGGATAAAGGTTGTTCGGGCGAGCTTGTGCACACCTCTACTATTCCACCCGATACCTACCGACTCCCATCAATATTGGATAAATTTCTTGCCAAAGATTAGGCAGATATTATCCAATGATGCTTTTGTCTCTTATTTGAACCTAAGTCCTCATGGTTTTCTTCCCACTTCATTTGAAACTAGGGTTCATATTCCAGCATAGTTACTTGGTACTTGTGCTGGTTGGTACCTACAGAATAGTCGAGGTGTGCATAAGCTGGTCCCGACATCACCATTATCCACAAAAAAAGAGTGAAAAAGATTAAAGTATAATAATGGACACCATAGTCATAAAAAAAAGGGTATAACTGTGAGAAAAGACAACCAATTCTAATACTAAATCACCCTTCGGGGTGGCCTAATGGTTTGAATTGGGACTTCCATGTTGAAGGTCTCAAGTTCAAAACCCCTTGCTTGCAAAACCCTTCTGGGTCAAACTTGTTGCACCAGGCTTGCCTAGGGCGGGTTACCTCTTGTATGTGGTTTGCGAGCTATTGCATAGGAGCGGGGGTTTACCCTGTGCGCACCCAAAGGGTAGCTGCTGTTGGTTCCCCTTCTCATAAAAAAAATAAAATAAATTCTAATGCTAAATCTGTGATCAACTTATCCAAACAAAACATTAAATACATTATCAATGATTTATTCTAGGATTTCAACAAAATCAAGAATATTAGCCTTGTATTAGTTGTCACTTTAAGAAATATGTTCACTTTCGGTGCAAGTTTTTTCGCTGTCACGATTTTTTGGGTATGGAATAATGATTCATGACAACTTTACCATTTATAAACTCATAGATTTATTTTAATTGGCTGCTCTAAAATGTTCATAAATTTCACTATGAGAAAATAATCCCGCTTACCCACTATCGATATGCTAAATATACATATGAACCTAGAGACGACGCCAATATTCGGGGTTGAATCTCTCAGCCGTTTCTGTTAAACACTGGTAGACTTGGGGAGTTTTACCATTGACAACTGCGCTGGTTCGTGTATTTCATTGGTCCATCTGGGGGGTCATGGTACCCTATGCATAAGACCAACTTTTCTTGCTAGTCAGCTTTGAAGGCATTGGAGTAATTGTAGTAAATGCAATCTATATCTTGTTCTTCAATTGCATTACTTGAAGTGGTTCATGATGTTTTAGAGCATTTTCTTTCTTTTCTCTTGAGTTGAGGGGTCTTTGGGCAGGTGCTGCTAATGCGTAACAGAATCAGTTAAAAAGCATTTAGGATGGTATACAGATGTGGTTGATGAAGACAAGTAGTTGGTTTGAGCTGTTTACATTGATCAGAGTATGTTTAAAGTAGAAGTACTTCAAGTTCGATTTATGAAGATTTAAATGGAAAGATCCTGAACTCTTTCTAAGATCCTCTTCTTTATTGCTGAATATGTACTAGAAGCATTCACATAGTGATTATCTTAGTTGGCACTGCTTTTTGTTTAAGAAGTATGACTGCGCAGTTTGATTGACTTCTAATATTATATTATGTGTACAATAGATATTAACTTCCTACTTTTCTTCTTTTTGGGTGCACTTGTACCAGACCGTGCAGAATCAGCAACGTGCAGAAAGGGATGCTGCACTTGCTCGCTTAGAGCAAAGCCGAATTGTACTTGCTATGCGATTGGCTGAACATCCGGGTAAGAAGTATAAATTCATTGAAGAAGCTCAATCTTTGGTGGGAGATGTTCGTAATGCCAGTCAATTTGTTTCTCCTGAAAATCAGTATGGTCCTGCTACAAGCGCCACAGGTGAAAATTTAACGACGCAGATAAAGAAGAGATCAAATGCTCTACTCAATATATTCTTTTCTAGTTTTGATTTCTTTAGGAAGTCTTTTAGAGTGGATGAAGTTGGTGGAATTTTGGGGAATGCAGCGTTGGTTGCAATCAGCATGCTTGCAGTGATGCATCTGCAGCAAGTTGGTAGCAAGGAAAAATACCTTTTGGACCTCCCGTTAGGACAAGACGTTGACTACAGCAGAAATATTAGAAAAATCTCTCAGCCCGAGGGGTCATCATCCAGCCTAAATTTGGATGTGTTGTCAGCCAGGGGCTAACACATAAAATGGTGAGGATTGGGGAGAAAGAGGATATTATGTTGTGTCCAGCCAAATTTTACTGAGGTGGGAGAACCAAGTTTCTTATAGTAGACGGTAGTAAAGAAGGGAACCATATTTTTGCTATCTATAAATGTTGTAAAGAGCTACATCTCCCTTTCTTTGGAACATGTGACAGATTTTATACTATAGTCTATGTGCATGTGTCAGTGTGAAGTTCAAAAAAATTTGATTACCTGTTGCCGATGACCAAGTCATTCTTCATCTAAAGGTAATATGCAGAATGTTTTGTATTAGCATTTAGAAGATTATTTAATATGAACGGCAAGCGAACGCTGATTGTCAATCTGAAGAATAATATGATGTATATTTATTTGCCAACGAATCAAACCAGTGAGTAAACAAAGTAAGAGAAACCATAGCGTGCAGTTCATGCACATGTAAAATGCAATCTAATAGATAGTTCTGCCCAATCTGCAATATAAGTTCATAATGAGAAATGAATCGAATATTTTACTGCATCATATTAGAAAAAATAACCTGCTTTAGTTACACGTACTGATAAAGACTTAATAAAAAAGAAAATTAAAATAGAAAATGGACCCTTTTTTGACAAGTATTACATGCTAATCTTAACTAGAAGGGGGAATTAGTAGTATAGTTGACAAACTTCAAGGGAGAACAAGTCACAAGAGCTAACCAGAAATAATCTCTTATGTAGAAGTTAATTAGTGAGGTCTAAGGAAGTTGTAGCCATAACAACTGCAAGTTTTGGTGTTACAACTTCTATTCTTCCCGGAGGGCAAACAACCATAGAAGGATATCTAGGCAAATCAACTGTTAAACATAGGACTTAAATGATACGATAGTCCCACGTTATTTCAAACATGGAATGCAGCACGTAAATCGTGGATGGAAGAGCTGCCTGGCAGATAAATCAGACAAATGACTCTCCAAAAGAGAAGCCAACGAGCTGCAAAATTATTGCACAAGAGAGTCCCAGTAACATTATTTTATTCGCTTTCCTTGGGCTTGGGGATTTTCTTATATTCATAATCATTAATATCAACCTTCTCTTGCAATGCCTGCACAGGAATTAAATAGACATCAACATAAGCTTTAGAAAGGAATTCAACACACGCATACATACAAATATATTTGTACCTTTAGTTCTTCCTCCAAGTTTATTTTTTTGGGGTTATATGCATTGACAGGTCCATACCGGGAGAGAGCTTTTCTTGTTTCTATGATTTCCCACTCTTGATCATCCTTTACTTTAGCTATATCCTTGCTGAACTACAAAATTTTGCACCACTTAGTCTTAAGCTGCGTTAAAAGATAGGACAATGTCTGAACACCGCACACAATCTATGACAGCAGAAAACTATCCCAAAAAAACAGGAAGATCACCAAAATGCCAAAATTTTGTCTATCTAGAAGCTACACTCCTTTGGAGTGGGCGTGAACCACATAAATACACACATAGGGTGTAAGAGATGACATATTTTAATGCCTAGCCGTCATATTGATAGTAGACTCAGGCCGACTGAAATAGCCTATAAATGGCTTTCACTTCAGCTACCAAAATTCAACTCTAGCAGGATGCCAATAGTTAGTAGCATTACCAATACACGTATAAGTATCACTTTACCTATAGTGATCCGAAAAGATATGAGTCAATATAAAATCAGGGTAAGAGAAGTCAAAAACACAATGGTCTAAAACAAGAGATAATGACAATTAGGTACAACAAGGTAAATGAAAATCTCCTCCTGAATTATTCTTACTTTTCTTGTGCAATTATTATCTTTAGCCTTGAATACACTTCATTTTGGCTTTTATCATTATTTTTTTTGCCAAACAGAAGCAATGTTATAAATATCAAAAAAACAAAGGTTGTGCCATATTTACAGTTGAGAAAAACAAAAAACAGTATCTTGACAACTTACAAGGACTTGACTGCTATATAGAAAACTGAGGTATCCAAAAATCATTATCAATTAACATGTAAATGTCTTCCCTCGCTGGCTTCCTTAACACATGGAGTCAGATGTCTAAAACTTACTATTAACTATTCAAAATAAAAGAAAATACTACGTATTAGTTAAAACTGAGGAAGCAACAACTATGAAAATTTTGAAAAGCCCAGAAAAATGCATCAAAAGGAACATTAAAGAATAACTTGACTAATGTGCACAATGACAAGTAAATCAGAACCAAACTAAGATCGAGTTATGAGCTCACAATACCAGATAGTTACATAAGGACTAACTGTAAACAAGGACAATTCGTCAGTTTGTTAGTGTTAAACGAACATCAGTTGAGTAATTTGACATTAAGTATAACTAACCTGCCTTGCAGAAGTTGGCTAAGACCAATAGATCCAAGCACTGTTAGTGAGATCATAGGAAGTCCATATCTCATAAATGGTGATTTCCTGCCCAATCTTTTGAATGAGGAAGCTGAGTTTTGAACGCTGGCAGTAGAGGAGGCTGCTCGTTCATTAGCTTTATTAGGCTGACTCGTTGTAGTCTGGGTAGTTGTCATGGAGTCAGTAGGTCACTTGCTTCACAATCTAAAACGAATCAAGAAGTGGGTTGACAACATTAAGCAGTCGATCAAATAATTACACTAATTCCTTATCAAAAAATGAACCTTCTCCGTTCACAAAATTAAAAGTCCAATCTTTGAAGACATCCTTTTCTACTCATAATTAAGAATTTAAAAAGTCCAACTATTTAATAAAGCTCAACAGAAAAATACATATTTCAAACATATAACTATTAATTTTTATTTCCAAACATATTGTGACGAGTGTTTCATGTGTTTTTTCATTTTAAACAAATGATAATGAGCTTTATAAATTTCTAGTCTTCGATAACTCTTTAATACTAATATTCAATCTGACATGTTTAAATTATCAAGTTATATATTTTGATACATATTTAATATGTTTATCCTAAAATCACAAAAGTTAAAAATCATTATATATTTTTTAGAATTTTATGTCAAATTAAAAAAGACAAGTAAAATAAAGCATAAGGAGTACCAAGAAAAAAAAATCTTCTGTCTCGATTTATGATTTGAATAGATATAATTGTCAAATAAATAAAAATTTGAAATAAGTTATTATAGATGTGTTATAATATTTACATAGTTATATAAGATATGAAACTCGCGACCTTAGATATGTTACAAAATTTTTGTGCTTACTAATTAGAGGCGGAGCAAACATTTAAATCTTAGCGTAAATTCTAAAAAAAATGACATCGGGTATTAGTAATTAAATTTGAACTGCGTATAAAATTTGATAAAGATAGTATAGTCAGCAATAAAATGAAAGAAAAACTAGGAGCGGAAAGGGTGGACAATCATTTGGTAACTGGCTTGGACTGATCTCGTTTGGTTTAGGAATAGATAAACCTAGTTCTTTGTTCAACAAGAAGCTTTTTTTACTGTGTCCACATGAATATATCAGAAGATGCTAAAGTAAATTTTAACACTAGTAGACAACTTGAAACATAGCAGGTTCTAAAGATGCAACAATAAGGCAAAATCACCACTGAAGGCTGAAATACTTCAAACTTTGGCCTCTGAAAGTTTATGGACACACAAAATGAGAGGGCGAGTAACCTTTTCGAGTCGCAAATCGCAATCTTCCATGGACCAAGAGGTGAAGCTAGCATATTTGATAGAACTGCCTTAAGCTAAAACAACTAGACATTTAACTCATGACAAGTGCAAGAACACAACAAAATATATCATCTCAAACAAGCAAATGACTCATAAATGATGAACGTAGACCCATGGCTCCAATACGACTTTAAGCTTGAGAGAACACGAATTCAAATCATGTTAATATGCTGAAACTAACATTAAATAAGCCCAAACACTAGAGCACAACCTTAAGAAAGAATCGAATAAGAAAAGATAGCAAATAAGTGGTTTAATCAAGACTCAAAACAGAGCTACAATCTAGAAACAACATAGTGAGACTAAATAGTGGTAGCATTTTAAGGCACTTAACAGAGAGAAATCACAAAAGTATTGACTAACACAACATTTGCCACACATAGAAATACTTTTGAACTCTAATTGAAAAGGAAAATTAATGACAAAAAAGTTCTTACATCAAAGAAATTTAGACTTAACTACCATTAGAAGATCAATGGATAGAGCTAAAAACTTGATGCAAGCAACATATTTACTCAAACAGCAATCTAGAGTTAATGATTATGCTTTTTGCAGATTTCATCATACAAATCAATTTTATTACTGAGCTTATCTGAAGTTTGTAATCATGCTTCATTCCCTTCCCAAGTCAGGACAAACAAAAGAGAAGACAGACCTATATAAAGCTCTAGCTTCATTAAGGCTAGAGATGTACATACTTCTGATTCTACTTTATCCCAGGTACAACATTGTAACAAAAAGTATAATCAGGAATCATGAAAGCCATAAAATAAGTCCCAAGTGAACTGGAGTAATAACTCACGAAGCTCACTCCAAATTAACTAAACGATAATTCTAGAGTTTTTTTTCAAATCGAAATAACAAAAGGAAGTTCAGTGACTTACTAGTTATGTTATGGAGGGATTCGCTTCGCAGTAGACTGATGCTACACAAACCTAAACAATAACAGCGTTTCGGTTAAAAATCAAAGAGAAGATACAGCATAAACTAGTAAACTGAATCAATTTCAAACTGTTAATTTCTGAACAATCACCATTAAAACTTCATCCGATAGTAGTTCTATTTCCAGGTAAAATATAAAACAATAATTTGTAGTCACCATTGATGATGAACTCGCAAGCTGAAATGAGGAAGTGCTATAGTGCACAGTGTCGATTTCTACCATTTTTGAACAGCGAAAGAGAAATCGAAAGAGAGAGAGAGAAATAAGAGGGAAAACTTACATGGAGAAACGAATAATCAACGGTAAGACGGAAGTTGCAGAAAAGAGAGAGAGAGAGAGATCTGTTTGATTTATCGCGAAATTTTGTGGAATTTTGAGGCTAGGGTTAAGTTTTATCATCTGGGTTTTTTCACATTTTTTTTCGGGAAGAATGAAACGACGTCGTCAAAAGGATATAAATTTGGATTAAAAAAATTGCAACGCTGGAAGCCTTCTCATTATCAGAGCCAGGTTTCGATCCTGGGACCTGTGGGTTATGGGCCCACCACGCTTCCGCTGCGCCACTCTGATTTGTTGATTGATATGTCAAGTATAATATACTTAAAGAAGTATTAGTCGGGCATCTAGGTTAAATTGGTTTTGAAAAAATTATTAAAATACACATCTTATGTTTTTTTATATTTCCAAAATATCTTATTTCTCTCATAATATATTTAATGTATCAAGATACATATATATTAATCTATCCATTTATTTTATCATGTATCTAAGCTACATATTATGTATTCGACTTATGTTATAATATATCCGAGAAACTCTTTAATATATGCATAAAGTATAATTTTTAAGGATTTATTATAATTAGAAAACAAATAGATATAAAATATAATTTACTCTTTACACTATACATTATGTGATTTATTTAAATTATAGTACCTCTTTTTTCCTTACATAATATGTAGAAATTATGATTGAGCTAAAGTCAACGGTTTATTATGTTTACACTTTATTTGGATCATTGTTACTCATTGTTTCATAATGTATTGTAGTGTATTATACTTTATTGTACTGTATTTGTATGGTAGATACAATGTTTGGTTAGATTGTATTGTTTATTGTTGTTTAGTAACATTTGAATTGTTTGGTTTGATCGTATCGTGTTGTATTGTAATTTATAAATTTACTTAAATATCCTTAATTATTCTAAGGTAGGAGGTTTGATTAGGTTCAAATAATTAAGGTAAAAGGTAAAATAGTATTTTGAAATATTATGTAAAGATATAATTTGAAAAATAAATTAAGTAACAGTAGGAACGCACCAAATTGGTTGCTCCATAAAATAAGGATTTCCATTGTTACGTAACAACAAAATTTAACAATACAATACAATACAATACATTTTAAGTAACAATCAAAACAAACATTGTAGGTATAGTAACAATACAATACAATACAATAAATAACGATAATCCAAACGCAGTGTTACTAGTTACAAAAACCAGGTGGACTGTTGTGTACAGGTTCAATATTTGTTCATAAAATTATTTTTAAAATATTAATTTATCTCATTAAAAGTTAAATAAATATTTGACAAATATTATTAATCTTGATAAATTTCAAGAGGTAATAAAATATACTATATAATTGTGTGGTCGTAAATGTCTCTTCTTCTTTGTTTTGCACAAATAAAATGTGAAGAGGTTCATAACTAAATTATCTTTCATTATCGATTATTATTTTCTTAAAGTGTATTTACAAAATATATACAAATATTACTGAAATTCAAAACAATAAATTTATGATTAATATGAATTTAAAAGGTAAAATCATTTTTAAAACAGATCTCATAATTTTTAAAATATTATATACTGATTAAATTGAAGTAGAACAAAAGAAGCAATACACTTTAAAAAAATAAAATAAAAATGTCTTTATTGAAGCAGGCATGTCAACGGAGACGTGCCTGCTCCAGCTTGAAACTCTCTCTTATTATAGCAAAAATATCCTAAGAATTATATAAAGAGAAGAGTACAACGTTTTTAAAGAAAAAAAATTGATGATCATCGTATATACAAGAAATCATTTAATATACGAGATGAAGGATAATAATTTGAATATACTAGTTAGTTCGAAAATTATGTAACCTATTATTTTTAGGGAAACTTTCATATATAGCCACTTAAAAATAACTAATTAATCTCCATAGCTATAGTTTGATAATTAAAATTTGTAGCTACATGTTATATGGAGTAGAGAGGCAATCGAGACTGGGAGAGAGAGGAGAGAGGCAAGAGAGAGGGGGAAAAGAGTGGGAGAAAGATGAATTGTATATGTATATTGGTTAGATAATTGTATATTATACATATGTATTTGTATATATAGCAAGAGATATTGGGAAAGGGAGGAGATAGGCGAGCGAGACTGGGAGAGAGGAGAGAGGAAAGCGAGATCAAGAGAGGAGGGAGAGATACGGTGAGAGAGGGCAGAGAGTGGGAGAGAGGTGAATTGTATATGTATATAATTGTATATAATTGTATATTGTACATATACATTTGTATAAATGGCAAGTGAGATTGAGAGAGGGAGGAGAAAGGCGAACGGGATTGAGAGAGGGAGAAGAGAGGCGAGCGAGAAAGGGAAGAGAGTAGGAGAGAGGTAAATTGTATATGTGTATATATATATATATATATATATATGTTAAAAAATTGTATATTATTCATATTTATTTGTATATCCTGGCGAATTATACATATACAAACATGGTTAATTATACAAACTTGAAATCAGCCCACGTAATTAATTTATAATGTTAGTCGCGAGTGGTAATTATTGCAAACTATAGTTATGCTGAGTAATTAAATAGTATAAGTTTGCTTAACCGTATAATTTTTTTATTTTTTTAATCATAATAACAATATAATTTTTTTATATATAAATGACTAATCTCATAAGAATAACTTTTAATTTGTTTATCTATCTACGGCTACCAAATGACCCCTACCCAATCAATAATATAAGCATATAAATGGAAGTTGCGGACCATTTATACTACGTATTTGAAGGCTGAAGTATGCACGAACCACGATGGCACTATATATAGTACAAAAATAGAGTAATTAATAATTAAATTAAGGTAACGAATGTGAACAAAATTAAACTAAAACAACAGGACCACATATGTTATCTGGTGAATTTAGCTGTAATATGTATGTGATGTCTGATCTACCACCATATTATTAAATAAATCATAGACAGCAATAATGTCATCGATTAATTTTTATTGACCATAGAAAAAGCCTAATTAAGCTGACAAATAAAAATGATAACGATTCATTAAACAATTTTAGGCTGCATGCTAGTTGGATTTTTAATACTACGAATATTCGTGCATGCAAATTTTCAAAAGAGACATTGGACAATAGATGATTAATAATATTTTGTCACTAATTGAGTTAATGTAATTGAAATCACAATCGTTGTGACAAGAATTTTATTTGTTGTAACATAGCTTGTTTGGAATACAATATTACTTCTCGTAGCAATAAATATGGATTATATTGTAAAATTATAGTGTATATAAATATATTTTCTGTCCCCTATGAAAAAATTGTATATAATAGCAAACTAATAACCTAAAATAAATGGAATAGCTAGGGTTTGATTTAATTGTGCTCCATAGCAAATGTTAGCTAAAATTTGCCTTTGAAGTAAAATGTTTATAAATTGTATAATTAAGTGTATAACACGAAAATATATTTTTTTGCATGTGTATATACAATTTTCCCTAGCTTTATACAACAGAAGTGTATATATTGTGTTTCTGTTTTTGTATAAAGCGAGAGAAAAACATATATCTTCTTGCTATACACTTGTAATTATGCAATATACATACATTTTAATTCAATTCAACTTTTTGCAAAGCAAATTATACAATTGCAGCAAAATAGACCAGCAAATTATACAATTTAGGCCAGCGAATTATACAATTGTATATGTATAGTGAATTATAGAGTTTTATGTTTGCTATGGAGCGCAATTATGCAAACTTTGTTATAATATACAAATATGAATTTTTTGTTTGCTATATGTGAAAGTTGTCCCTTTTTAATTGTCTTCTTTTGCTTAATTGTTGTTTTCCTTTGTTTAATTTTTCTGTTGTAGTACTAATTATACTAATTAATCTTTGGTTTCAGTCATTATGGCCGGTCGGCATACTTTAGTAGGTAACACGGGCTACGTAACATTAATAATTAATAATAGCCTTTTTATTTTTTTTAATAAATGTAATAATTACTCCTATTATTTTTCTAAAGCTCAATGGAGTAGGAGACTAGGAGCATTATATATTAGAGAAAAGTTTGTCTTTAAGAATTGAAACAATAATTTAGAATAATTCTTCAGTGAAAACTTTTCGTCTATTCAAAAAAGAACTCCATGTTTCTCAACACAAACTCTATTATAAGTAATCTCTATAATTATACTTTCGTTTAATTATGAGTTTGAGTTTTATATATTTACGACAAATAAATTGTTGGGTTTTAAAAGGTGTGAATGAAAAATGAAGAGTTGTGACTTTCAATGAAAGATTGCGACTTTTATGAAAAGTTGCGACTTTTATGAAAATTGACAACCTTTCTGAAAGACTGTGATTTTTTCAAAGGTTTGTGACCTTTCTAGTAAGGCACAATAAGAATTTTTTCGCACTACCATTTGTTTTATAAATTGAGAGATTTTCTCCAATTTATAAAAATATTCATTTTTAGGGTTCATATTTATATGACATAAAAATATTTTTTTTGGCTATATCAAATGTTTTTTAGTGATAAATTTAGTTGAATAATTTTATTGATATAAAAGCTTAAATTGAGTAATTTTTTTGATATAAAATAAAATTTAAGAACTTTTATAAATAAATTTTTAAAATTGAGTAACCTTTTGAGATAATAACTCGTAAATAAGTCCTTTCTTATCTTTTAGTAAGTGGCAAACCAGCAGAAAGGTGTTAAATAAAATAAGGCCAAAATATATCTTTAAACATTAATTTCCATTATCGTGTACATAAAAGACAAAGGGAAACTAGTGTAATAATTAAAAAATAAAGTCTATTTATTTTATATTTGCCACCATCTTAGGAAGATGTCACATATTGTTTATGATGAGACATGCCTAATTGTCAAAATTAGGCCAACGAATACACAAGAGGAATCGTGTTAATTATACTCCCTATCCCTTTGATTTTGACTTCACACTAATTGAGGGAAGAATTAAAAAAACATATGAATAATTAATATTTATAATTAAGTAGTGTTTAAACCAACTTCTACATATATAGTATACCCTTTTTTTTATTCATATATTCTTCGGGCAAATTACATAAACAGATTTTAAATTTGTTGGGATTTTTTCTTCATATATCTCATTTACGATATTT